AACGTGGTCTACTCTTCACTTTCCAGGAAGAACTCGAGGGAATTTATTTTTAAAGTTGGGAAGATTAACTTTTCTTTCTCCCGAGTTCTTCTCGGGAATTTTAGAAGAATACTCTTCTCTCTTTCGTTATTGATCAGATTGCTTCTTCACATTTGACGTCGGTTCGAAATAGAAACATCATTCGCGTGCACGAATGATGTTTTTAAAACATCTTTAAAAAACTTTTTAATATACTGAAAAATAGTGCTATTGATTCAATTAAAGTTTATATTACGGAATATCACTAACATAAGTAATTAATTCATATATTTTTATTGACATAAAGGCCTTGATTATTGAAATAATAATTCATGTCTTTAAATGTCAATAAAAATATACATGAATTACTTATGTTAGTGACAGCCCGTAATACAGACTTTAATTCATGAATCAACAGCATTTTTTTCTCAACCAATGTATCAATGATGAATTAGTTGATAAACAATTAGATGCATTCTACGTAAAATTTAACGAATCTTTTTATCTTAGTTCATAAGGAAATCAATTAATATTGATTGATTTTTCAATCGCTGTCTTGAGAAGATCGTTTTATCAATGCTGCATTGATAAAATAGCGATTCTCTTTCGAAACTCAATAGAATTTGATATTAACTTGTAAATATTGACTTACAATCTTACTTTCGTAACAATGGATTTTATTTTCCAGAATTAGGTTGTTAATCTAATATCCAACCCTCCAGCCTGAAAGGATTTATATATATATATATATATATATTCACTCGATATATGGGGACCTGCAGTTTAATGCCGAATCCGAATGGCGAACTGCGAAAAATCGCATATGCGGGAATGGAATCGCAAATGGAATCGAATCCGGATCTACAGATCGCGAGTCAATCGCACTGAATGGTGAGCTACTCGGCGCCCCAGAATTTTGCTGAAGTATGAATATGAAGTAAAACTTTAGATATAAATCTGATAATATTTTATTGGACCATTTAAAATGATTTTATAAATCGCTCAAGTTAGTTGCTAGAATATCAAAATTTTTTGTGACATAATTCATCATGTTTGAGTTTCTTACATAATTATTTTGATGTCCAACAAAATTATTTTCAGATTTTTATTCCTAGCTAAAATTTTAAATACTTCAACAAAATCGTTCTTTCTACAGATCTAAAATTAATTTTGTTAGCTCATTAAAATATAATTATGAATGTTCGAGCTGATTGCTAGAATGTCGAAACATTTTGACAACATTACTTTTTATGCTCTTGTTTTTTACATAATTTTATTATATAAAGTAAAAATACTTAATTTTTGTCGTACTTTGTACTTCACTTCCTCACTGAAAAGGATTAAAATCTAGAATTGAAAAAATTATTTTCAATTATTTGTATTTATCTAAAAATTTAGATAAAGTACGACAAAGTACGACAAAAACTAAGTACTTTAGCAGAATCATTCTTTCCATGTGTCGTTTGTCAAAATGTTTTTTGTAAAAAAAGGCGAAATTCCATGCGAAGCAGAACGCAAACATAAATTTTTTCGGGGATCAACGATTAATCAACCACTCGGTATACCAGAATAGTAAAAGTGATGAATGTCGGATTGGAGCACACTCGATAGCCTCATCGCGAGAAGGCCGATATAGACGCCGTGATACGGGGACAATGCATGCGTGCGTGCGTATACGCAGCCAGCGATCAGGGAGCGCATATGCGCCTTGCATTTCGACGCAGCATAGACTCGACGCGACAACAAAATTAGCGCTTCCATATCGCCCATCCGCAGCAATATCCATCAGCCATTATTCGCCGGTCAGACGATAGTCCGACATAATAACTGTCCATTAGCTTGCCAACGTCGGTACGTAACGCGATTCGATGAAGTATCACCGTTAATCGAGTTGTGAAATTTACGTAATTGAAACGACGACGATGTATCGGCTTGTTACAAAATCTCTGTGAGCTCAGGGAGAAATTTTTAGAGAAAGGATCGTAAAATTGGAGAAATAATACAAATTCTCCGTAACAATAAAATATATTTTTCAATAATAAACACCTTATTTTTCTAAAATTTGATATATCTAAAGTATATCTCCGTAATAATTTCTGTAACATATTTTGGTGTACTATTTTATTAATTTCTAATAAAAATTATTTGTTAAAAATTTTATAAGAATATTTTTTGAAATGCTGAAATTTTAGAAATTAAAAAATAAATGAAGAATTTATAATAATTATATCAGTAAGTATATTTTATCATTATAGATATTTTATCATTTGCCACAACGATGATTAAATTTTACAGGATAACGTTATTTTATATTATATTTTATATTAAATTTATTTTATATA